TATGGCACAGAGACAAGAGGTGATTGTACCACCACTCTATGAGGGTAAGATGATTGCAAGGTGGAGCGTGGCAGTGTGCTCCTGCCCTGCCCCTAACATGACCTGTATTTCCCATAACCCTGTTCAACCAATAACCACCAGTGGTGATCATCGGTTGCATCTGGTTGTGATGGCTGTATCCTACTCAAAGAGGATCTGGGGGGAAACAGGTGACAATACAATAGCCAAGGGCTAATTTGAACAATGCATCCACCTAACCACGGTGCTGGTCAATGTCCCGACTCAAGCCAAATTTGGAAGAAACTAACTTTTGTAGTCACTGTGTAAATATGACTATGAGTCAGTTATCTCCATAAATTGCAGACAACCCAGGGCCTGTTGAGCTCTCCTGTGCGGCATCAGGCTGCATGCCAGGATCACCTCTTGAGCAGGGACACTGCTCAAGGTTACTCCTCAAGTTTGAGAGATTTCTTGCTGCAACAGATTCTCAGTGAGTGATGCTAAACTTTGAAATCTTAGCCAAGTGGTATAAAGGATTAATTGCACATACATAATCCTTTCGACATAAACCATCGACCAAGTCTGGGACTAGGAACGGATCCAGCCGCACCTAGACTTCTCTCTAAGAAGGAGTTTAGAAAGCAAGGGGGTCCATTCTGAACCTCTGTGACTCAATGGGAAGGTCTCCCTGAGAGTTTTGTCTGACCCTGTCCTCTGTGCAGTAAATATCAAGTGAACCATGCCATCAAATCTTGTTAAGCCACTGTTGCATCTACTATCAAACTTTGTTAAATTGCTGGTTTATATGAATAAACATATTGCTACTTCTCTCTTACAAGTGAAGTGCATCACTACATCCACAACAACTATACTTGACAAGCACACATGTTCCTTGGGTGTCATACCATTGACTCACCAGTACGTAGTTATATTCTCTGAGGTGCAGAGTAACCCAGCCACAATTTTATTTCTTGGGTCTCTGAACAGTGATCACTTTAGCTCCCTATAATTCATCCTTCACAATAAGGAAAATGTAATTTATCATTTAAGAATAATTTAATCATTAAATATCAATTAATCAGTTAAATGTAAAGGGGTGATAATGGTCTTGGGGTAAGAAGGGAAATTGTCATCTGGAAGAACAAAAACCTGAAAAAGGAGAGAGATGAGGAGGTTCAGAGTGGGTTGAGAGGATTTAGGGAAATGTTTGCAAGATAAGCATCAGAAAAGAAAAGCTGAATGGCAACAGTTAAGGTTTATTAATTACTTGGGATTTCAGCATGTTTGTGGCGATGCCTTGGAGCTAGTCATGTGATTTTACATGAAGATAAAGATCTGCAGCCAAGACCTTCCATTCTGTGCCACAGCTCTTGAACCATATTTAGGTTATACTCTGGCAGCTCTTGCTGAGTCCCAGAGCATTAGGCATTGTTCTGATTAGGAGAGCTGTGTCCTCCTTCCTCTTACAAATTACCTTCCTTGTAGTGACTCTTTCTGCACCATCAGCTAGCCACAGTATTTCAGGGTCACAGAAAAGAGGTGGAAAGGAACGTATATTTTAGGGATCAAAATATTTACTCAGAAGGCCAATGTTCTCATCACTGAATTTTAGGAACTTGTATTTATTTTGCAGCTTTCTGTCAAAAGGGTAAGAGACTTTTGTGAAGGGCAGGATCTCACAGATCCTTCCTGAATATTCAAAAATACTTTTAAAATCACTTGACCATACTTCTCTTTACTTATGGGATTGGTACTAGTCCTAAATTTGCTAACACTAGCTAGACTGTATCCTAATGGAAAAAGTGCCTTCCGATTACTTCAGTAAATTACAAATATTAGATAGGAACCTTGGACCAGAAGATGTTCACCTGGATTGGGACTCTGGTTTCTAGTCCCCACACTCCATATTATTTGGGGAACTCAAGCTGAATTTGAGGTACACCTATCCTGTTCCACCTGTTTGAGATGCTTTTGTTCAGTCTGCACGCCCAAAAAGTCCAGTGGAAATCCAGCAGATAAATTTGACTGAGTTTGGAAGAGCCCCCAAAGCCCTGAGGAATTTTAAACTAATTATGTAACCAAGGTACAGCACAGCTTCATCTTGCCTCAGTTTTATTGCTTCTCCATCCCTGAACATTAACCAGCCAGAACATAAGCAGACAATGAGTCTGAAACCATGTGCAGGGTTACATGAGGAACGGTCTCTGAAAATAGGATGCATCCATTATGGTTTCAGACATAAGATCTCCAGAAAACTGAAAGCAGTGGACAAGCCATGGACACAGAAGGCCCCTAGAAGCAATAGTTCCAATAAGCCTCATCAGCTCTCAGCACCACTGAGGTACACGAGGAGGCATACAAGCTCTTAGTCAGCAGACATGGTTTGTGACTGGGCCTTCCAATCAGGTGGCCAGGAACTGTTCACGAAAAACTACTTATTTTATATCAAAACTTACTGACATATTTAGAAAATAATTAAATACAGAAGTATTACAAATATTTTTAAAGCACTAAAATAGCATAATTCTGGTGGCCAACTCACACTTTCATTCACTTTTAATTCTGTTCTCATTATTTACTCTCACTAGGAAAAGGTGAGGTAAAGCCAAAAATAAAGAGGGAAGAAAAATCTACATTTGTAAGTTTCATAGGAAGCATTTTTCTTTTTTTCTTTTTTCAGCTCAAGTAGCTTAGAAAAGATGATACTTGAGGAAACTAATGCAGCTGGCAATCTCTTTCTACTAGAGAGCTGCCCACCAGGTATCCACATGTTGCAGTCATTCCTAGACACTGCTGAACTTGCTCAGTCTCCTACGGCCCGACAAAGGGGTAGGGACACCTCAGCCCTTCTCCGCTTCAGCTGAGATGCATTTGAAGGAGAGGAACCATGTCTGAAAAGTCATGCAAAGTTTGCACTTGGTGAGTTTGCATCAGATGAGCTCAACAGGATGGTCATATGCAGCCTCATCCTAGAAATGAATAAATGGTTTTTTCTTTCCTTAGAGAACTCTGCACTGCAACGGTGGCAGATGCCCAAGGTGTGTGACTGTGTGTTACCTGAACAATTTCAGAAAGAAGGAGTTCTTTCACAGTACATCTCTTCCCTGGCCTCTAGCCCAGGGAAGTGTCTGACAGCTATTCCTGCAAAGTATTAACCTACTTGCTTCTAAGAGGAATTGTATGATAGCAAAGCATTGTATTTTCTGAAAGTTCCTGGAAAACAAACTGGTTATATGTTGACCTGTAATTGCTAATCCTCCCTCCAATTCATGCCAGTTGAATACAGGCCAAAAAACACAGCCATGCTGCCCCAGTTTCCTTCAAAAAGGTTGTTCCAGAGCTCTCTGGAAGCCTCTCTCATGGGTGAAGAGCAGAGGACTAATTTACACTAGAAGTACCTTTGTCTAGACATGTAACTGTCAGAAAGCTCAAGGCAGGTGAGATGCTAGAAGCTTCCAGAGGTTTTCAAGGAATACAGCACGTGAAGGAACCTGGACCTTGTCTTTACAAGAAAAAGGCTATGAAGTCAAAATTCTATTTGAAGAAAGAATTCTGTGTCATACATAACTCCATTCATACCTACATCATACAAATACTTCAACCTACAACAAAGAGACCATCTTGTCTCTTGAGTCTTGTATCTTCATGGTAGGATGCTAAAAACTCTGTGACAACTGACTGCCTCAGTCATTCATGCTCTGTAAGAGTGACACCAAGATATCACTGCCACACTGAAACAGCCAGAGCACTGTGCATTTTGACCACTTGGAACACAAGCCCAAAATTTTGACCTGTGCTGAACCCTTTTCCAGTGCTCAAGAGCTGTTTTTTAACATACACCCAAACACTACAAATTAGGTCCATCATCAAATATCTGATACAACCTGAGTGACTAGAGCAGCCATGGGCATCACTGGGACTTTTGTCTTCCAACTTACCATGGGGCTTTCCAGAAATGCTTGGTATCACCTCAGCTCCTTTTGCATTCAACTCATCCCCTGGAGTGAGTCACCTCTGGATATGTCTCTTCATTAGCTACAGAGGGAGTATAAATGTGTAGGTTAGAATGGTCATCGGGGCTTCTAGATGCAGATATCAGGAGAGGAATCCTACCCTCTGCCACTTCTGGCAGGTTTCCCAACAGGGCAAGTGGGGCATGTTGTCCCAGAAATAAAAGCTAGCAAGTTGGCATCAGATGAGCCCTATAGGATGTTCACATGCAATACCCACTGAGGTTGCTGCAGTGTGTGAGCACAAGACAGCAAAAACCTAAAGGGATACCAGCCTGACTTGAAAAAGTAATTTCATTTTCTGCCATGACACTACAGAGTAATTGTGCTCAGAATGACTGTTTTTAATGCCTAAATACATTTTTAGTACTTGACCATCCAGGTGGATTCAATTGTGCTTGCAATTTTGCAGACATTAAAGACGTAGACTAAATGACTGAGGTGGGGGAAAGAGAACAATACTGCACTCCTGCGAGACAGCCTGACACACAGACTAGAGCACAGCACTAGTGCTCAGAAGCCTCAAAGTCTAGTCCTATTCTGACCACTAGCTGACAAATGGTTTAAAGCTAGGCATGGAAAATGCAATGCAAGTGTTCTGTCTATCTTTTACAAAAGTAATACTGGCTGAAATCTTCAACCAGTGTGAACTGTTGAGTAACAAGAGGTCACTGACTCCAACAGAAGCAGTATTAAAAGCCAAATCTGGTCAGCTTTTAAGGATAAGAACCTTCTTCTTGAGCATCTTTTCCAAAAGCAACACGTGATACAGCATGAATATAAGCAACACCTGAACTGTTATAAAATACATTAAAAAAGAAACTATTTAAATCCAAAAATGTGATTCTAATAAGCTAAAGCATACTTAGAATTTATATACTTCATGTAAATAAATGTTTACAGAACCGTAGCCTTAACTGATATGCAAAAGCCATTTCACAGAAGTTTTCATAAAGAAATAATATACAAGGCACACTAAACACTGTCGGGCCAAACACATTCTACTGTTTATTACACATATTACATTCTTAAATAAAAATGCGTCACATAACATTTTTGCATAGATATCTTACAATATACCAATTTAAAAAAGAATTATGAAACAGACCAGTAACAAAAATAAATTTTTTCTTCATTAATAATTTTGTAACATTAACATACCACCATCATATAATACAAATAATATTTTTAAATCTTAAGACTTTTTGTACAGCAAAAAAACTGACAAAGTAATATATTTATATATATATATATATATATAAAAAGCTTAAAAAAAATAAAATGTCAAAAAAAGGCAGAACTGAGGGCTACAAGATTGGGTACTTCTGTGATATATTAGAAATACCAGAGTAGGCCTGAGAGAACGTGACCGAGGGCATCTCCAAAATGCACTTGTCAGACACATCTGGTAAAAGAAAAATTATAGTGCAAAATGAAAGTCCTTCAAGCAATGTTGTCTTTTATTTTAAATAGGGAGCATTCATACTGTTTTTTATTGTTGCTAAAAAAAAAATCCCCCAAACAAAAGTCTAAATGTGTAGTAGAGAGCAAGAAAGGTTTCAAAGGATAAAGAAAGAAAACAGGCCACTTTGCAAAGTAAGAAAAAAAATCTCAGCCTGCATTATTATTTTTTCAACTAGATGAGTTGACATGCTAAACTAAGGCCTTGTTTCTAAGAGAAAAGTTGTCATGGTTTATATGCAGTGATTTCAAAACCAGGTACTTAAATTTGTGCAAGAACCTTCCTGTAGAGGTATCTTAATTGGTTGAAGCATTTCTTAACACTTCATCTTAACTGCATAGCATGCCAATGCAAACTCAATCCAGGCAATCAAGTAATAGGTGCAGCTAAAAAGTGATTTTAACTAGACTGATATTTTAATGTAGGGCAACTTCCTGGTAGAGACATGGCCTTGGTAACATAGTAGTGTTTAAACCAGTGTTGTGATCTGCTTCCAGAATCTGACAGGCCTGGGGTTTAAAATACAGAGTGACGGGTAAAATGTATGTTGCACGATACAAAGTAAAGATCAGCCCTTCAGCCATCAGGCCTTTCAGGGACTGCGTGTTAGCTTTTCATTTCCCCGAGAGCCCAACAATAAAGGCTAAAATTGTCACCTTTCTGTCCATTCTAGTTCACTTATAGTGTGTACATGCTAAGCCCTCATCCCCCTCCCTTCCCACCTCCCCTCCCACTCCCCAAATTTGCAGCCTACTCATTCACAGTACACAGCAACATGTATTTTCCAGCATTGTTGAAAACTTTCCTAGAGAAGCTGACATGATTCCTAAAACGCAGTGGCAACAGCAAGGGCCCTCCCTAAATCAAAGCAATAGGCACGGTTGGCTACTACAAAGTGTAAGTCAGTAGCTCAGTTTCCTCTTCTGTGTAGGTATATACAGTATACTGTTGTACATCCACACCCACAGAGATAGGGTGGAGAACCTGTTTTCTGGCAATATATAGAAGTTAGGACGAAAGCACTTAAAAAAAATCATCAACGCTTTCATTTTGAAAATTGCAAAGAGTTCCAACCAATTATTACACAAAAAATGCCATTAACAAGCATTAAGGAAAACTATAAAACCCTGTTCGAAAAATGACGCCTGCGTTTGCAAGTTTTCAGGTAGGGAAACCCATTCTTGAGGTGATAAAGGCAGCCTACTCCCCATCTCAATATTTTTATGTATATAATTCATATATACAATTATATCATTATATATATAACTTATATAGCACGAGTATGACTTGAGCTTCTTCCTCTAAGGGAGGAAGAAAGTCTCAACTTTATGAGACAGATCTTAGTACCTGGTAGGCCAGATCCTACAGTGCTTACAATGCTAAATCTTGCCACTGAAGCCAGTGTAGAGCTGTGGAGGAGAAAGACTGCAGTAGTCATCCCTAGACTATTAATAAAAAGTGACACATATGTGACAAAAGGAAGAAGAATATCCAAGCCTGATCTGGGAATGATCATTCAAGAAGGCGTAGATTTAATGCTAATGAAAGACAGGCGAAATTTGTCAATGAGTAGTTGTAGTATCTTGGGAGGAAATTATTTTCATCTTTCAAAACAGAGTTAAATAGAGTTATTGTCAAGCATTGGTTTTGTTCTTGGTATGTGGGGATCTTTGCAAGTGCAATTCTATCTGAAATCAGCAAAAAGAACTTTAGAAGAGTGTTGGGTTAGAGGCATCACCCAGGATATGAAAGCGTAAAAGCAGTCTTACCAGATGGAATGACAGGATGTGCCAAGTCCTGAATGAAATCAGGAATAAAAGCCCTTGATCCACTGGGTGCTGGCCTAATAACATTAAATTATTTACAAAATTTTTCTTTTTTTTTTTTTTTAAATTTAAATATTTTGACACATATTGAGGGAACAGGCAGAGAAAAGGAAACACTTAAGCAAGTTGGATTTTCATCAGCTTTGTCAAAAGCACCAATTATGACCTCTTTTGTACACAGATAAACAAACTGTGTTAATTAGGAGCAACCTTTGTGTTGGAGACAGCTAAAAAGCCCAAATTGTCTAGGGATAGGTAAAAATGAGGGAAAAAGCCTGATTCTGTAGATATCAGAAAGGTCACAGATAAGATACAGTCACTCACTGCAAGTATCATATTGATCAACTCCATGTTAGCCATACACCCTAGTGTTTAGTTATCTTTTTACTCCTGAAGTTAAAATACTTTCAAAAGCAAGGACCTGGGCGGGTCCTCTCGCATTCAGGTTCTTCTTCCCCAACTGTGTTTGGTCAGTGCTTTCCATGTATTAAGTGGAAATGTGCTAGCTAAAAAAACAGTAAACCCAAATCCAAAAAGCCTGAGGAAAATACGAACGAATGAAAATAAAAAAAGTTAATGTTCACCTTTGTAAAAATATATGTTGCCTTAGATTTCAGGTCCTGGAAACCATTTCTGAGACATCACATGGGTTTTTTGGGCCAGCAAACTTGTTTCCATAGTATCTGGTTGGTCCCTGCAGCTGTGACACATCTCATGGTATGATACTGCTTCAAACTGGTTTGCTAAGGGTTTTGGTTTATTTTAAGATTTCCTCCTAAGTCTCCCTCATGAAGAAACCTTATGAAGTTCTGTTCCACCAGCACAAGACTGGGAAGAACTGGAACCAGTACACATTTAATCAGCGAGAACTCTGAAATGAATTATAGAAACACAGAAAAAATAATGTTTGAATGTTTTTCTGGATGTCACCTAATTCAACCCTCTGTTTAAAAAACATTTTAGTTAGATCAGATTGCTCCAAGACATTGAAAGAATCTAGGATTTCACTCTGTCCCTTCTCTTCTTCATTTGCCAATTTATCCAGGTAATATAATTTTTTAGGCTGAGAACTGGCTATTAAAAAGGAACAACTCTAGGATAGTGAAAAATACTTTGGACCCTGGAATCCCCTTTTCTGTTAGACCAACCTTTATAGAACACATGTAGTATTTCAGGTGGGTTTTTATCTCTTAAGGAGAAAACCAAACAGAACAAAGATGCACTGAAGTGTTGGTTTTGTCTAAAAAGTGACTAAAATACAACACCATGTGTCTTCATATTTCATATAGTATAACTGAAACTGTACATTTTTTTAGTTCAAGGTAAACCAGCAACGATTGTGTTGGAAAAACAGAATTTTGCTTGCCAGACCTCAGACTGGCAGCATAGAAAGCGTATTTCTAGAAGCATATTTTTATACACAGATTTAGCAAATCTGATTAGAAAACTCTTTATACTGGTGCTTCCTAAACGATTGTTCTTAAATCACTTTTCAAAATAGAATCTTGTCATGGAGTATAGCTTGTCTCAGTTAGAAAATGGAAAAATCCAGAATAAATAAATTATATCAACACTGTGACATATGAAATAACGTCTTGATCTGGAATATTCTGGGTTTGGTCTCTGAACTACAAGAAAATTACTGACATATTGGAGTGAGCCTAGCAGAGAGCCACCACGCAGATCAGGTTCTGGAATACATGGTGGATGAAGAGAGGCTGAGAGACATGGTTCAGTCTTAGGAAGAGAAGAGTAAGGGTAGATATCACTGCTGTCTACAAATACCCAACAGAGGGCGTAGAGAAGAAGCCAGATTCTTCTTGGAGGTGCACAGTAGAAGAAGCATTGAAAACAAGTTGGAACATGAAAAATTCCTGCTTGACACATGGATTTAAGAAAAATATTTTTTTTAACCATAAGGTGGTCAACTTGGTCCAGCTCGCACAGAGAGATGGTAGAATTTCCATCTTTGAGGATATTTAAAACCCAGATGGATACAGCCTTGAGCAATCGGCTCTAGTTGGAGGTTGGCCAAGATGGCCTCTGGAGGCCCCTTCCCACCTGCATGACTCTATGGTTGACTGCCCTGCTGCAAAATATTATTTAGCTCTTCACAACAACTCACATTTGCTTTAGTTGCTTCTTCTACGTACTCTGTTTTGTGGGACTTGTTTCAATTTGTTCTTAACCTATAGTTCCATGGCCTTGGAAACCACAGTCTAACTTTCTCATAACAGCTTCTCTTTTGCAAATAGGCATAAATGTAGCATGAAGGAAACAAGGTTAAGCTTCTCCTTTCTACAGCTGGATAACTGTCACCAACTCATCCGTTTACGGGTTTGCTTCCAAGAAGCCTTACAGAGAGGATTAGCCTTTCCTCATTAGTCTGTTTCTAGTCATAGTTTACAAATAGAGGACAACTGTACAATTTCAGCAAGGAGACAAGCCCAAAAAGGATCTAGCTATAACAGATTACACAAATTTGAAGTGCACAGCTTAAAATATCTGCAAAGAAAAAAAATCTGTCATTGTAAAAAACAAATCCTGGAATGTGTCACTAATTATGCCTTTCCAAAATGGAGACTCCTTCTACAAAATACTGGCTGTGGTTCAAAATTTTAGTAATGACTAAGACACTTGCATATGAGCACCCAAAAACTGAAGTCCAGAGATTGACTTAGTACATCATGTATACAGGTGAAAAATATCTCCCTTTACAAATAGAAAATGATCCCAAAGCTCAAAATTTGGCTTCAGAGTTCCAGACCTGCTACAGAGAGAGCCTGAGAAATCAGAAATCTGGTTAAGTCTCTTATCCCCCTTTTCTCTATGTTTTTTAGGCAATCTGGATCCATGATTTAGATGTAGGCCTGCCTCTACAACAAAATAATCACATATTTCAGCATGTTTTTTTTTCCATGGGGCCCTTGTTCTGCCATATTTGAATAAGATGTCAACAAGACCATGAATGGCAACTGGAAGTAAATAAACAGTCTTGCTTGATTTTTTTTCCATTTTAAAGAGTCTGGTGCTTAAACTGTCACTTTATTAAGTTTTGTAGACTACTGATAGCATGTCTAAAGGCAGGTGTGTTAAGAGGTCAAAGGAGGATATTTATGCAGGTTCACAGCCAATGAATATCATAGTGGTGGGTTTGAGAGCACACACTTTAGGAGACTACAGTAATGAAATTCTAGGATTCTCTTATCCGTTTTTTAGTCTAAATGCACTGACTAGATGCTCTACAGTTTCACACAGCTGAGGTTTCAGTTCCCATTAGACATCTGGCAGGATGCTCTATATATTCCAACACAAATTGGATTCTAGGGCCCTCAGTCCCAGTGGAACAGCTGGGTGGAATGGCCATAAAAAGTATGCAAATACAGAAGTAGAGAAATACGAGATTGTCAGCAAGCAGTGCTCCGCAATTTTAAAATGTATACATATATATATAAGCATATATATATACACATATAGAGTATAGTTAGTTTTAAATCTTTGGAATAAACTCAGTTTTTGTTCTCTCTCTCTTTCTGTCTTTCTTTCTTTTCTTTCTTTCACTCTCTCTCTTGCTCTCTGTCATGCTCTTATCACAAATGTTACATCATTGTCCCTAAAAGATGGTTAGATTTTGGTCCATATTTCATACCATATGGGCCAGACATCGTATTTCCCCCCTGTCCCCAAAGTGTTCAGTTGACAGTCACAGTGTTTTGTGAAAACTGTGAGGAAAAACAGCATCTTTTGATTAAATTCAATCTCTCACTGGAACCAAAGGTTGCAACATGCTGAGAATTCAAGTGCCAAGGATCCCGGTGACGTCTCTTAAACATCTATCAAGTTTCTTGTTTGTTCTTTTTTCCCTTAAGAGTATAGCTTTACCTCCCAAAACATAAATTAAGGGAAATATTTAACAGTCAATGAGTCAAAACAGTCAAAGAAGGGCAGTTGGCTAATACAGTATAAAAGAGCAGCAACCATTTGTGGACCACGCGCCATTTTGTTTCATTTCTAGACACATCTTGTAGGGATGGTCCCAGAATATACAAAATATACAACCTAATGACCACCTGCCTGCTTGCATAGGCCATTTTTATGGTCCTAAATGCAGTCTTTGGAGTCAGGGCCAGTGCCAAATAGTTTCAAATGCAAGTTATGGTAAGATACATTTTTTTGTTTTCTTTTGTAATGAAGACTTTAATCCACTTTGAGCCAACAAAATCAAATTATCAATAGGACTGAAGGATGAGCATGAGACCTCCACTTCTCCTTGATGGTTCACACAGTAGGCCAAAATGGACCTCTAGGTTAGTAATACTTTAGACCAATCATTTGGAAAAGCCCCACTGCTGTATGTAAAATCCAACCCTTCCTTCACTGTTCATACTGTTATATTTTTCCATATAGGAGTGGGCTACAGCATTAAATTGATGAATGGAAAAGGAGGACTTTGATAATTTCTTTAAAAGGCTAATGCTGAATGGAGCCATTGTACTTGGAAGAGGTTCTTGATTTCCCACTCAGAGACTGGAACAGGATTTTTGGCTTGGATTATTTTGTGTGTAAGATGCTCAACAAACATTAGCTTTAAATTAAAATGTCTGCAGGTGCTCTTTACACAAACAAAAGTCTAATGTTTTAAATTGGTTAATAGAAGAACAGCAAGAAAAAGCAACATAATTCATCACTAAGTCACTGTGGGTTGTGGCTAACATGCTCACATGATGTGGAAGGAATCCTGTAGTCATGCCTGTGTGGCCAGTCCCAGACCAATATCCAGGTGAAGACAAGGAGTTCTGAAGATCACTTGTTCATGGAGAAAAGAGAAAAAATGTTTAAGCTTCCAAATAAGCTTTTAAAGTTTTTTGTTCAACAAATAAACAAGAAGTCCTAGCTATGGCAATAAGGTGAGGCCTACAGAGATATTAGGTGCTGTTTCTCAGGGATTCATCCCTTGGCTACTTAGCCATCATGGCAGCAGCTTCCAGAGTCCCTAGTGCATATGTTGTGCAATAGCCAAAACAAAAATTAAAATAAAAACAACCAACAAAAATATAGTCCTCCATGAAGTCTACATAAACTCAGGCCAAAAAGAGGGTATTTGTGTCACAAGTGTCACTCCACAGTCTACTGCCATTAAGGCCACTGGTATTGACTTAAAAGGATCTCAATAGCTCAGTTCTAGGAAGAAGAACCAAAACCAAGACAGGTCAAAGTGTCTGTGAAAAGTCTGACGCACTGAACATTGGGAATTCTCAGACAAAGAACAAATGAACCAAGAGGTTAATTTTGGCTACCAAACTGGGATTTGGTTTTCTAGGTCATTGTTTTCCCCCATCTATTTAAAAAGAAAGTTAGTGCTACAAATATGCAACTTCAAGACGACATATTCTCCTATTGAGTTGCATCGAGAAGCAAGTTAAATAAGCCCCTCCTACTGCCATCCACCTGCAGGGAAGCCTCCTCTGTTTTCTTTGATTTCCGTTGGCAAACAGAGGAAACAAATCCAAGTGCGATGAAGTACTGTAAGCAATTGTTCCTTCTCATTGACTTCACCTCTATACCAATTCCTCGCCTGCATCTTCTCGCATCCATCTGGGGCAAGGCATAAAGAACCGATGTACGTACTGAAGTATAACAGGGTGCATGACAGTGTGAGCATGTGGTCTCTGTACAGAGGATTACACGTGATCAAGTTCTCTTCTCCTGCAAGGTAGCGCGTTGTAACTTGAGTTCCACTTTCATCTTACAACACTTAGCTCAGATGACATCCATGCCAAGCTGACCGATATTTAGATGTGTCTCTTCATGTGGAGGGCGAGGTGATCAGACCTGGAAAAACACCTGCAAAATAAAGCAAGTGGGAATGAAATAAATATAGAATTTGGGAATACAGAGTTTCTGCTCCTTCCTCCTTATATGCAGGAGGAAATATATATTCGAATTTGGAGACATTCTTTAGATTATCCATGGATCACCACTAAACTCTGTGTGATTGACCTCTGTGACCACAGACGGCCAACTATCCTGGCTCTTCAGCAGCTAAATAAGACTACTCTTCTCCTTTCTCTGTTCCTCTCTCTCCCTCTTCTCTCAACTCAGTCAAACATCAGGGAAGAGCGCTCATCTATGCACCTGTAGTATAAAATCCAATATTTAGTATAAGTGCATGTGTGTATATATAAAAAAATAAATAAACCAAGTCAGTTTTGCTCACGTACTCAGCAACACCAGTTAAAAAACCCACCAGCTTTCTCAAGTGCTCAGAACCTGCAACAAACACCAAAGTACAAAGCCAGTTTTGAAAACTGAATTCTCCTTTCTAACTCCAAACTGGAAAGAATGCTCGTTCAGAGATTGGAAGCTGACAATCCGTCAGGCTACATATCTGTCCCCTACTCTCTACTTGGAATCTGGGTGTTAATATGTGGATCTGGATGAATGCTATCTCCCTGAAGGATGTTGAGGGAAGATAAGGTATTATGCCTATTTTATAAGAGTGCAAATTGAGACACAAAGAAGGCAATGACATTGTAAATCACATAAGAAGTGTGGTAAAACCAGAAAAAAAAGAAGCTTTCGGCTTCTGTTCTTTATCCACAAAGTAATTTTTCTCCATCTTGTAAGAAAACATGATGTTTTGACATTCTGAAGATGTAGATGGATGCTGATGAGACGGACAGAGCAGCGACCCTAGAGAACTAGTTGAGTTTTAGGGCTGGTCTAAACATATAGTTAATTGAGAATAAGGTAGGGCATGAATTTGAAATGAAGCATCTATTCTTGATTAACTCACTCTCTGAAGGCTTATGACTGTCTTCTTTTGAAATTACTTAATCCACTTGGGAAGTGGGTTAAGACAGTCAGAATAAAATACACTTACTCGAGGAGAAGAACAACCCCAGAAAGAGTTTATCAGGAATTACTATTCTAGAACAGCTGCCCTATAGTAGACATGCTGCAGGGCACTCACAGCAGAAGGAGGAGCAGCCCAAATTCAGGCATTTCAAGATATTGTCCGAGTGATCAGGGGAATAAATTCTCAGGAGGACAAGTGCTTTTCTTCCCTGTCATTCAATATATACCCCATTTTATCAAGACTGCCAGTGAGCAAGAATTGTTTTTCAACTTCATACCCATTAGAAATGAGATCAAAAGCACAAACCCATTTCACACCCACCATCACAGTGTCATTAAAGATATGTATGGCACCAGAGAGCAAACTGCAGGACAAGCGGGCAGTGGTTCTGGCTGCCTACCCCAAAGCCCTAAAACGGAGCCTGACTGTCAGAGAGGCAGGACTCAGGCACTCTCAGAAATTAAACTTCGACTACATACTTCAAGTTGAGCGCTAAAAACCAGGAGGTTTCCAAGTTCCCTGCAAATCTTGGCTTGCCTTCTTTCCACTCTATGCCACAAGACACTGGCTTATTTATTACTACTAAAATCAAAAAACATCTATTATAAATATCACACAAACCCCCACATATCTGTTTTGAGAAAACTGGTTTTGTAGGCTCTGAGGGCAGCACAAAAAGCTACTTCCAGAACTGACTTGCCTGGAATGTCTTTTCACTGCCCCACAGATTCAGAGTATAAGAAAGCCACTGATGCTGGTATGAAGAATATCCAAATGGTTTATTATGAGAATTTGGACAGCTCATACATGGGCACTGAACATATTTCCAAAAAAGCAGTAGTTTAGTATTACGTATTATTCAGAAAGGAAAAGATAAAAAACCAAATTTAACTACTCAGTAAAAAAAAACAAAACCAAAGATAAAAAAAAAGACCACTCAATCTAAAGGCAAACACTCAGAGAATAAACACCCTAAGCAGAGAAAGGCTGAGAAAGAGAAGAACTATAAAAACGAAGAGGTTTAAAATAGCTAGGGATTGTTTTCTGTCCTGCTGGCAGTACTCCCCTGCACAGGCAATCTATCTGCATCTACATGCAGAGATAAACAATCGAGATACGCATTTTTAAGACAAAGAAAATTTGCAAGAAGGCAACTTTTGCAAGAAAAGCTAGATACTCATCTTCTGTGGATGAGCATAGCTCTGCTCAAATCAGCTGTTCTCTACTGATTTCTAGCAGCTTACAAGGGGGTTAATACCTTCAGAGTGGCAAAAAATTAAAAAAGACTTCAAAGTAGGAGGGAGGCTGCATTCCTCCAAGCTCCTACATGAAGCAGTGTGAGACAGACGAGAATCTGACAATGGACACTTGGCTTTCAACAGCAGGCTCAGCACAGCTAGAATTTTCTAGCCCTAGGGTGCCAAAATACACCCTTGGACCAACATCTCTCTGTCAGTCTAAACTGAGAAAGCAGCATGCTCTGGCTACGAGGGCTGCCAAAACGAAACAACAGCTTGAGTGGCTGCCAAAAAGACACGCACCAGCTGGCACTTCAGTCTAGGACTAGTCCTAAGACCACCACCCAAGCACAGCTTTTCCTCTCCAATTGTCTCCATTACAGATGCAACCCAAGAAAAAGGATGCTGAGTCATAGCACAGCAAGATCTATTAAAAATATGGATTCAATACATTGTTTCACATCAGTAACCACAGTATTAGCATATAGTATATTTTTCGGCCCTAGAATATTTTTATAGCTAATAAAATGGTACCATATTTGCTAGTTTATAGCTAATAAAATAGTACAATACTAATTCTTCACATCCTCCTCCTGACTAATTTGGTTAGTTCTATCTCTTGCTAAGGCTGGTGGATGTTGACATTTATTTTCAACAGTAAGTAAAAAAAAATTTTGCAGCTAAATCACACTGTCAAAAAAAGCTACTGATCAGTGGAGACATTTTTTTTCCTTCTGGGACTAGACACAGCAGTGGAAAAAAAGGTCCACAGGATATGCTGTCAAGGCAAACTCCTTTCTTCACAAATTAAGAAACAGCAGGTTGCGGGTCTCTAGCGCTGCCCGTGAGACAAGACCTTGCTCCACACCTCTGGCTCTACACCTCTTCCAGTCCCACACCAGCTCTGCACTTTGTACATGGGCCCACCACAACCTTCCCCCTCATCCCTCCCCCATCCAGCTCTTCCTAGAAAGGGCAGTTTTATGCTAGAGTAAGATATCCTCATTCTGAAAGTCATACAGTGATGTGTGATACATAAACTCCCTGCTCCCAAACATGATTCCCTGCTTTCTCTTTTTGCTCTATCTCCTTAGCAACACAGTACTGCTCGGCACTGAAGCCTCTGCAGGAGAAAGAGGGAAGGTAACTACAATGAGAGAAGAGAATATGTCGCTCAGCCATCTTTCTTACCAGCTGTGGATTCTCCACTATGAGATGTGTTCATTACAGCTAAGTATGCTCTTAGCTTGCTGTCAAAAAGGAAACCACGTGCACATGCGCATGCACGTGCAGAGCAACACATACCCAATAGTCTGGCACTAAATTGCCACCTCCTAAACACATATTTATGCAGAACAAGCGAGTGCCACTACCCTGTCATCCTCTTCCCCTTGGAGTGCTGAGGGCTTGCACTGTGTGAGGAACATAACCCTAGCCTGTGTTTCTGAAGAGCAGAATTCCGGGGGAATGCTATAACCAGCATATCCCTGGTGTCTGGAAGGCACTAGAGACTTGTACACTGCTTTTCACACCACTTTAGCTGATTCTCCTTTCTCCCCTGCTGCCACCAAACCACACACCACTTGCAATACATATGGTGCTACTGAAACCAGTGGTAGTTTGCCAGCCGTAACTACCAATGTGATCCGTTGGTTGCATGGTGTTGAGATAGGGCTGGGACAGCAGAAGAGAATCGTGACTTACCTCTTTTGTTTTAAAACTGACCTGTACAGGAGGACATTAATACCCCTTTGATGTGAGCCAGAAGGTCAGAGACACAAATACATCTGAAAACAGCCTGGGAAGGGAATTTCAGCCAGACTGGGTGCACAACATTCCCCTTCTTTGTTATCTGAATCACCACTTTCATGCTCTGATTGCCAAGGTATGGCCTTCACCTCTCAACAACAGGCATATGTTTTGTGCTATGTCAGTGTTGTTAAAAGAGCTCCAAAAGGCTCCTTAAACAAACCAGGATGTCTAAGAGAGTGACCACAACTCCTGTCAATATAATAGGGGGTGTGATAAAGGGTAGTAGTTCAAATAACGCGAAACTGTTCTCCAGCTGGGAACCCTGGCTTAAGAAGAAGCTTCTTTAACATTAAAAGTCTGCCTAAATAGCTATGGACAGATTTAGGTACATATTTCAGTGCTTGCTTGAGGCGACATCTGCAATAGGCGGTAGTAGAGAGATCTGTGAATGAGAAAAGAAGGAAAAATAGTTGTACGGCAGAATGGGCCAAAAGAAGAACAGGCACTGTCACTCTACAAGCTTGGAACAACTGACTGGGAGAGTAAAGACAAATCTGTCTCCTACTTTCACACACAGATGGTGTGTGCATGGACTTTAACAGTGCACAATTCCCAGCACTCTTAACTTATTAATAAATATTTTTCCTTCATCTACAGATTCAGCTGAAGAACAGAAATGCATTAAATGATTGCAGGAATATCTCTCTTGACTGCAGTGAGTAACTTGGCTGCCAAAGAAAAAACCTAGGTAGGAAGAAATAACATGTAGAGGGAGAAGAATGAATACTTAACAAAGGGCTGAAAGAGACTGAGGAGTTGAAAATACTGACTGTATTTCTTTAGATCTCTGTTTAAAATATGGTCTGTCCTGACACAAAAACCCTGGGGCTTTGTGTGTGTGTGTGTGTTTGTGGGGCCAGGATGGTTAGTTTGTTCTTCAGAGGAAAGAAAGGAGAAAGACAATGCCTTACATTCAAAACAGAGAACATAACTGTTCTCCTTCACAGAGGTGCTTATACAAAAGCAGAACTCCAGAGGTCCCTACTTGGTTTATCCTGTCCCTCATTCTGAGCAAACAAAAGATAATCCAGGGATAGAACAAAAGGTAATCCAAGAGGAAGCCCTCTGTGGGGGAAAGGGGACGGGAAAAGGGGAGACAAGGGCAGAAGAGCACTTAAGGAGATGAAGCTCTTGGACAGGCAGGATGTGAAAATGATCGAATTTCCTTCCCATAAAAGGATGGGGTCCATTGTTTATGTCCCACACATCCTCTTTCCACGCATGTTCTCGGCTGGTCTGGTGTACCCAGAGGCTTCCTAAAGCCTTTATTGTATTACAAAACGTTTCCTTATCAGAGCAGAGAACCTTAGTGCTGCATTAAAAAGATAGGTAATTTTCTTAAGCCTCTTTTAAAAATATATATAAATACGATTAGCTGGATAACATGTTCAGATGCAAGCACATTATTTGATTACTCAATAGTGGATCCAGGTTTCATCCAGGGCACTGCCAATCTCCAGCTGGGGGGTGTGAGGGGGAGAAGTGCTCATTGTTCAATGCTGTCAGTGCTGTCAAGAGTCATTACAGGGGTAATTGCTTTTGCTCCACCCCAATTTCTTATCAATTGGGATTGGGGATGGGGAGGGTTTTCTCTTGGTTTTGTTTCTAAATTCAAAGAACCCAGCTTTCAGAAACGCTCAGCACCAAGCAAGGATGACCACATTTTTCAGAAGAGCTCACCATTCATTCAAGCAGCTAGAGTGATGAGGACTGCAAAAAGGAATCGGCAGTGAGCGGCGATAACCATGGCTCCAACTGGGAGCTGCAGGCTGCTCAGCTCACCAGTCAAAATTGGCCCCTCATCGCTGACTGCCCAGAGGAGGACTGTTGCATGAGAGACTCTTCAGGACCTCTGGCTCTGGGCACCTGTCAGGATTTTAAATCTGGGCCCACACAGAATGAAGGTGCAGAGTATTTCCCACATCAAACAGATGTCAAGGGTGAGATTTAAAACTGTAGGAAAAGATTCACTAATTAGTAGGAATGTGCATAGATCACTGATCCTACACAAAACAACCTATGAATTGTAAGATGTGCTTAAATCACTCTCATGCTTTTGAAAATTATGCCTTTTACTGACTCTCCCCTGTCACTTCAGGGGAAGCACTGGAGTCCTGGGCTCAGTTGTAACAGAAATTAAGTGCTTTTTTCCTAAAGGTTTCCTACAGATTTGGGGCACTTGTTGCACAACAGCCACACACACTCCCCATGCCCCCTGTCATACACCCATGTATCTGTGAGGCCCACCGGTTTTGTGAGGCTCACCCTGCCAAAACACAAGCAGCCAGCAGTGGTCTTTGGGGTAGTCCTTGAAGCAGAGCAAACAGAGGGAGCTCTGCCTTTTTGAGAGCACCAGGAGATGGAAAGCTGTGAGATACTTTGTCAAGAGGTCCATCACTGGTGATCCAGGGCTCTCTGGATGTCTTCTCCGCTTTACGAGCATTAACAAGAGCTGCCCTACGGACTGAATCCTGTGCCTACAACAGACACTGGCAGGCTTCAGTCAGACCTTCACTTGGTCCCACATCTTTCTCTGTGCTGTGGGATGGAAACAGCTTAGGCAGCTTTGGAACCATTCCTGCTCTGCCAGCTTGCCTGGCCACTGAGGCAGAGAGGACAGGGGCAGAGTGGAGGGTCTCTCCTTGGCTCGGGGATCGAGGCAGTGGGACAGGATGCCAGAAGGGACCCCTCTGCTGGGAGCCAAGTCTCTTGTCTCAGGGAAGTTGATGGCTCCACACTACTCACAAAGTCCACATGCTGCTTGAACACCGTGTTAGGAGGCTGCATTACCTGTCACAATGGTTGCATTTAAAGGGCTTTGCACCCGTGTGCTTTCTGTAATGCCTCGTGAGCTCGTCACTTCGTGCAAAACGCCACTCGCACCCTTCCCACGAGCACTTGTAAGGCTTCTCACCTGCAGAGGGGAGGAGAGAACAGTCAGCGTGGCAGCAGGATTACTGAGCACTCAGCTTGCAAGCCCTGTGTCCTCCCACCTTGCCTCTGTCCCCACTCAGGCAGGTTAGCCCATCACATAATTCATGGCCAGTGTGGGATGGAAACAACTTAGGGCTTATGAAGCACTGTACTAAGGGTGGATCCAGCCCAGATTTTACTGCTGCTAATATTCTTGTACAACCTTATTCCCCATTTCTAACAAAACCAGTCATCTTCAAAGAACATCCACAAATGCCTGTCCTACTGTGTGGCTGAAGCCTGATTTTCAATCAGCTTTTCAGCTCACTCTGCCCTTGCCAGATGAATTACAGTGGTTCCTGTGAGTGGCTCTAGTAACACCTGAACACACTGCAGGTGTACACCACTCTAGAGTGACCACCACCACTGCATCACCCGCTTTACCCTGGCTGCTATTTACCCCTCACATGGCCAGACTCACGTGTGTTCCCCTCGAGCTTTCATGCCTGCTGTCCCCTAGGAATGCAGCTTCTTTAGCTGCTTCTGACAACAAAAACTGCTCCTTGGTTCAAGAAATTATGCGTCAGGACAATGAGTGTGAAAGGAGACATGTTTTCTTCTTTAAATCAGCTGGTTCTTCAGGCTTTTTGCACTACACCTTTATCAGCTGTAATTCTGCCCCAAAATGTTAACCATACCACCGAAGGCAGTGAAATGGTACAGTGATAAAACGAGAGATTCTGGTCTGCTGCATTCACATCTACCTATTTTCTAACACAAACCAGTCTCGACAGATCAAGTCTGTCATGGTGTAACATCCATTGAGCCATTAACACCTTCTAATGAAGAATTCCAAGGTCTTGTGCCCCCCCCCGCCCTTTTCTTATTCAGTGCATGTATTTGTGTGCAGCGTATTTGTGTGCATGCAAATTTATCATCTCCCTGCAGAACAAATGCTCCAGTGCATCTTCTTCTATATAAACTCCATGTCACTATTCCCCACGCAGTCAACACTGTATGGATGCATCAGAAGAGGAGAGAGTTGAGATAAAATGCAGACAAGAAATCACTTTCACTACCAAGCTTCTAATCTGGGAATTATAAACAGAGAAGGGATTATTACTTATTCATTTTTCTTAAAATTGTTAAGATGATCTTAAAAAAACCACCACTGACCAAACTGAAGTTGTAGTCTGCATGACCTCTCTATGCCAGTCACATGAAACAATCACTTGGCCACAGCAGACAAATTTCTCAGAGCAGAGATGCAGATTTCTATATTTAACATGTCTATTCAGCAAGTAAAGGAGTGAGATCTGATTATGGGAGACCTATGTATTTCAAGGTGACAAACTGGAGAGACCAAAAGAGCAAGAAAAATAAAAAGGGCAAGAGAATTGCATCAAAATGCATGAAAAAAGCTGTTCTATGGTGAGTGAGTTTCTGCCAACTTCCTACTGCACAGGCAGCTCTCCTGCACAGTGGTCATCTGCCCCAGAGAGAACAGCAGAGTGGGCTGAGACATTAAGTGGAATTGAGCCATTTTACTGGCCTCTGAGAAGTTTCTCTGGCTCAGTAGCTCAATTAAAGGATTCACTGGTGTGAAGCAACTAAGAAGGGGCAGCAGCTGGCAAGACTCTGCCAAAATATCCATTTGTCCCTCAGTCCCTGAATGCAGAAAGGCCAGTCTGGATGTCTGTGTTGTGTGCCGCAGTCCACCATGGGAAAAAGTGCAACAGGACAATGGACTGAGCCAACAATAACACCATCCCACTTAGATTCTGCCTGCCTGGTCATCTCTGCAGACTTGTCTTTTGGGTTTTCCTTTTAATAGGATTTCTTCAGGGGGGGAAAAAAAAAGCAAGCAAGAAACTGCTTGTTAGGAGCCAAGTGCTGGTGTCTTGTTTCTGGGCTGGTTACTCAACTGTAGTTCAAACACTGTCACCAGTGCTGGCCCCAGACACTAGAGCTGCAGTTGCAGCGCTCTCCCTCCCCAGCCCTTGACATCCTACCTGGCGCACTGTATCTGCTCTCCCCTTTGCAGATTTTTCTGCAGGGATTTCCCCAGCCCTGGTCATGTCTATGATGGTGTACCGGTTTTGTCTGAACAGTTCATGCATTATTTTTAAGAGCTGTCAGTAAACAAGCCTCGATGATAACTCAGCTTCCTTGGTTCTCTGACGCTCTCTAGTGCTTACCTTAGAGTGGAGACAGCAAGGCATACAAACTGCCTTGCAGCGCATGTTTGCTACACATGCTGCAAAGCGAATGCAGAAGGCAACTGCTCAACCAAATCTGGCAGGTACAGCCAATCTGAATGATACAGTCGCCTACAGAGCAGAAGGGTGAAGGAAAAACATCCTGAGCTTTCTGCGAAACCAGGGCTATTAGGACTGAAGCCGAGTTTGGCTTGTTAACATTTGTCAAGAGCTTTGAAAATGTACAGTGCTATATATAGGTTACGAGAGACAGAAATGCCAGGCATGATTACTGGTAAACCCATGGATGTCACATATCTCTGTTACTTGCTGCAGGGGCTCCTCTCTCAAGTGTTCCTGGTCTGGCCTTGCACAGCCCTGAGCTGAGTTTTGTTTTCAGATGCTTTTTCTTCCTAACCCAAGCCCCTGTTCCACAAAATGTCAGACAGTACCTCTTTGTGCTCCAGACAGCATGCTGGCATACAGTGCTCTGTGTAGCACAAGATAAATGCAAAGGAGCATGGTGACCTTTAAAGCTATGTCAGACGGCTCCTTGACCCAGAGACCTCAAAGAGGGTAGATTTCCTGCCCTTCTAGAGCTACTCAAAAACATGAGAGGGCAGGAGGAAGGAGACCTCCGTATCTCTGCACGTGAAGACTAAGAACATAAACTGCTTATTTAATGGCTGCTTCCATCTTACCTGAAGATGAAATGAAAGCATATTTTGAAGAGGTGCACATATGTAGGAAGCATGGGAATGGAGAAGGGGGGAGGGTCCTCCTACTTCACTACTGGCAATGGCAGGGAGAAGAAATGGGAAGGATCCTTTCCATGTGCCAGGCTGCTCTTCTGTTGTTGCAGAGGATTAGTGAGAATAAAAGGATAGATGGTGAAATCCTCCTCTGCTGAAGGCAATGGCAAAACTCCCACTCACTTCTACAGGGCCAGGATCTCCCCCTTTTTTAACAAATTAATTATGAGCTTCAAAATCCAATTAAAAATAGGAACATGGAGCTGTGCTACACTGACTTTTTTCAGGCTCTAATTCCTCAAAATTAATAACCACACTTAAAACTCATGCCTGCAGGCCACTCCCAGGAAGGAGGCTCTTACTCCTTAAGTCACCTTTATTCAACACAAGAATCTGTGCCGTGCTTAAACAAAGCCATAAATCCACATTTATACAAACGCACTCAGTGGAGAAGCCAATGCACATCTGAAAAGAGGCTGATACCCAGATATGCAGCTGTTAAATACTCAAGCTGTTTCAGTTCAGATCGTGCTCCACACCATGGGGCCGGTTCAGCTTCCACACATCCACAAATGCACCTGTGAAGGGCAGGCAGCCAGCAATGCAGACATACACTCAAGGAGTGAATTATGCAATTTTCTGAGATAAACACTAGTGTTAAAACAATGTACCATTTGCTTATGGAAAGTCTTCTAGAACCGATGCAGAATAGTGGCTTTCAGCTTTTTATTTTTTCCCTGGGAGGTACAGACCGCTATCTATTGATTTCAAGCTTACTGACCACTTTCCAGTTTCCATGGTCAGCATGTGCATCAGAGAGCAGTGCAGTGCAGGAAAGGCAAGCTGTGTGAAACAGTGGGCACACAGGACCCAACATCCATACCGTGAGCATCTGAAGGGTGTTACTTCTGGCTAGTCACAGCCTGGTCCTGTGGCATGAACCATAGGTTCTCTAGGTGAAGCATACCAGCTGTGCACTTGCAGAGTGCTTCCTGCAACAGGCCATCCAAAACTATGTTTGTGCTCTGCCAAGCTGAACCAAAGCACAGTGAATGGGGGCAACCAGAAGACTTCCCTGAAAACGGGATGCTTGATCACCAGAAAACACTCACACAGACATATCCTTAGTTGCCTGCTGAGGATCCCTGAGAAGCAGCCTGCACATGTCTGCAAGCACACAGAGTGCTGTGCTGAAACCTATTCATCTAGAAGGACCTTATCAGCAGAAAAGTTAGTGGTACAGAAATGCTATTAGCCCTTCAGATAGGGTTTCAGTCCATCATGACTGCATACTTCTGTGAAGCAGCCTCCCTTCATTGTGTCTCTGTCCTGTGCTCCATAGCCCATTTTAATCTTTGCATATTCCTGAAACATATTTTCATAGCCTGAGACTGGGATGCTTGGGGAATAGGCTCTCTGTTCCAATTTACGGCACCTCACACAACCTAGCTCCAAAGCACATACCACTACAGTCCGGCCCTCCATCCTCTTTTATTTCACCCAGCCTGGTCCAATCTGGTAACTGGATGACAAAGACCTTTGCAAATTTTTGGGAAACATGCAATAGTGAGGCTAGAATTTATGAGTCATAATAAAAATCCATCACTTTGTCAGCCCTGAAATCGGGTCACTATTCCTTTGGTGACTAAGACAAATGCAAGACTCTAAATATTAGGCATCTAGTTACAAAAATAAACAGATGATTGGTATAGTTTTCTCTTGAAAGCCAACAATGTATCATTTGAAAATATAAGGGAGCAAGTACACAATCCCAGCAACACTACCATGGTAAACACACACCAGGTTCCCAGCCAAACACGACGGATAAAGCTGGGCTAGTTCTGTGATGGAGACTCTATACTGGTCCTTGGGACTTCCCCCTCCCTTTTCCAGCCTTGGGCAGTCTTGATGAGTTTCATCTCATGCAACTTTAGGTATCGAAAGCCGTCATCTGAAATAGCCACCTATGGCTCTTTTTCAAGTTAACGAAGAGGCAAAGGCATGTGTGGAGTGTGACACAACAGACACCCGTCAGACTAGAACTGGAGGTG